TGTACACTACTGAGAAATCCCACAACAGGACGGAACGGCTGTCTAGCGCTTCCAGGTTTTCCATGGTGGTCGAGCTTCAATTGACTCATGACGTCAACCATTAAAATTAAAGTATATCGATCGAAATGAATGCATACTTTACCATTCTATACTGTAGAAAAACATGATTCTTTATATGATCATATGAGGTTATAGTGTTGTTTTTTAAGGATTGGTGGATCGGCAACTAGTGAAATATCTCCAAATATTAGAGGAAACTAGTTGTCCTTTGTTTATGTGCCTAATATATATTATAGTCAATGTGTACAGACGCCTATTGATGTCACTATTTTGCACCAGTCTCGAAATATGTTTAGTGAATATGCAAATGTGCAGTTTTGGAAAATATGTATTCCTGCGGTAACCTATGTATAGGTGTGCTACGGACAAGTGAGAAATACTGGTTTGGGATATAAAATCACAGTCAGACCTCACACTGTAGTGTCTATTAGTATGTGAAGCCTACATGGGTTGTCCTAGCTTCCGGACGGACCAGTTTCTTGATTCACATATTAAGTCACGCTTGATCAAAACAAGTTGGCACACTTGTTTGCTCCACTTCGCTGTCCCGCTTCTCATTCTTAATGTCTGTCGGAATAAACGAGTGTCTGAAATAAATTCATCCAACTCAATCCATATTTGCTTTTTAATAACGCCGTTACACAAACGGGATTAGCCTAGGTAATATACGGAGTTAGACGGAAAATCCATGTTCTTAACATACTCATACGTTCACCCAAATCGGAGTTAGACCAAACAACTGCTGAAACATCATTCATGAACTATTGAACATGTTATTTGGGACGTCTGTAGTGAATGACCATATACTATCCACTGTAGTGATTCATTCGGGAAGAGAGTTAATTGCGACTGCATCCAAACCTTATAAGGTATTCATATCTGGAAAATTAGTAATGATTATCGAAGTTAGGCAGGTTTTCTAGCAGAAAGTTAGAGCTTTTAGATCTTCAAGGTGCCTCATCATCACACAAATTCCTTTTGTTTACAAATTAAGAAAACTAGTTATTCTTTTTCCTTTTCACATCATTTTGAGTTTGTTCTGAGATTCAATCTTCCCCATCTGACGATCGTTCGTCTTTTGTCGTTACCACTACGTAATTCTAAATAACAACCCCTCCCCCCAGAATTTCCGTACTGGTCATATAAATATAGTGCGTTATCGATTAGTCGATAATCAACATAATCACTCCCCACACTTGGTATCTCATACATCATTGAGGCGCAGAATATCAGATGACTGTGATAAATCCTTATTTAGAAAATACACCATTCTATGCATAAACTTGGAAAACCTAAATTACACTTTAAAGAACATGATTAGATAATTCCTGTTGTTTGGTTCAGAAACAGCACAAATCGTCCAGTAAGATAATGAGGATTATGTAATAGCACGAACCAATACATGGATTAGGAAAATGATTGCCTCATCAATCGTAATGTTGATTATCGCTAGTAACACAGCTGTTCGCTGTAAATACAGAATAACGCCCACTTTCTACTTATAACGTTAAGACTATAGACGAAAATTTATTTATTCATTAACCAGTGATTAATACATCAAAAATAATATTGAAATATATTTATAGTTGAATTCATCAGTCAATTGAAGGCAAACCATCATGGAAAAACTGGACGGCGGTTTCGTCCTAGTATGGGAGACCTCGGTAGCGCGCATCCACGATCCCGCCCCGCGAGACTCGAATCCAGAACCTATCAGTCTCGCGCGCGAACGCTTAACCCCTAGACCACTGAACTGGCATCCAACGGTGTTAATGCTGAAATAAATACCATTTCAGAAATCTGGTCGATGAATAAATTTGGACACATTCAATGAGCAGAAGTTGACTATGTTTATAGTCGAGAAAGTCAAGAGATGACACCCCTGAATCTAATAATTGTTTCCTAAACACTGAATTAACTATCCTTGTCAAGTTCTCATTTGCATTTGTAAATATTGCATTGTAAATATGCCCCTGCGGAAAAAAACTAGTTAGTTACCACTGTATCACTGAACAGAGATTGATACGAACTTTCGTAAGAAAGCTAGACTACAGATTTATGTGCTCCAACCGATGATTTCGAAACTATGTCAAATGTACACTGAATTATATGATTTAGCCTTTGGAGCGATGGTCGAATATGAATATATTGAGTAAGGCAGCAGGTGATATAAACTAAGGAGTAGCGACATGCAACTGCTTAATTTACAATGACAATCCAACCAACTCCACTCACGATACGATAAACTGCTGACCAGAATATTCATTTCCTTGTCACATTATAACACTACTCAATGGCAAACATACTTTCTCTTTATAACAACTTCCAATTGATTTCAATCATTTTTCTGTTTCACAGATGTTTCAACCTACTTCTATCACAATTTATATGTGCATCCACTACATTGTGTTTCTACCAAACCGAAGTCTGTCTATATTGATGTGGCCATTACAATGGTCGCATGTTTTCCGTATATATTCAAATGTTTTAATAGCTGCTTAGTGTAGAGCAGTAGTATAATGATTCAACCACATAGACACCGCCCGGTTTGGGCATTAATATGCAAACTTATACTTGATTATGGGGTTCCTCGTCCATGAAAGACTAGTTTATATTACTTAGTTATATTCTAACACACATAAGTACTCAGAGAGGATTGTTGTTTGTCCTACTCCTACTTACTCAGGCTTTATGCATTAACTACAATCGCAACTTTTCAACACAAAATTTCCATCACACAAGTACCTTACGTGACAAGTAAGTGATTGTAGGTGGTGCTCATCACCAAACGTTTTCATTTAATGTATAAATAGGAACTATGAAGTACTGGGAATTTGTCACTTCCTAGTATGATATCCTTTACTAATAATTACCCACGACTTCGCCAAAGATCTATGGGTCTCGCAGTGAGTGCCGCACATTAAAAACAGTAGAAATCGAAAGCTTCATATTGCTAACTCCAACCAACTCATGATTTGTCGAGAAAACCATACATCGTTATCCGTAATCACTGATCCTCTATCAACATGACTCAAACTCCATGGTCATAGCTTTCTTCTGGAATTCGTTTCGAATTCACTAGTAGGAACAAGATAATGGTTTGCTTGAAATGTCCAATACTATGAGCCGAAACAGCTGTTCAGTGTTCCCTAGTTCTTCATGGCCCGTCGGTCTACTCCGGGTGACCGTGAGTTTGACCACAAACGAAGGATGTTACGTAATGAAATTGGGCAAAACTTGCGTAAGGACAGAGAAGCCCGGTGGTCGGAGCGTGCTAATGAGCTGGAAGCAGCAGCTGCATCTGGTAATTACCGGAAGCTCTTCCAACTCATCCGAGCCACTGACAGCAAGAAGTCTGGTGTGAGTGAAACAATCTGCGAGGATGATGGGATGCCAATCACTAACACTTATCGACGTCTTGGACGATGGGCAGAATTTTTCGAAGGGCAGTTCAACTGGCCTGCTGTTCCGGCAACATCGGTCAGACTGTCCTCCCCTCCATGGCCGGTGACGACTGATCCACCAAATGAGGCGGAAGTCCTCAAGGAACTCCAACTCTTGAAGCGTTACAAATCACCTGGCCCAGATGACTTACCTCCGGCTCTTTTTAAAGATGGTGGTGACTTTTTGACTAAGGAATTGACGACGTTGTTTACAAACGTCTGGAAGCTAGAGAGTGTGACAAAGTCATGGAATGAGTCGATAGTTGTCCCTATCTTTAAAAAGGGTTCACGTCGTTCCTGTAACAACTATCGGGAGATAAGTCTACTTCCGAATGCGTCCAAGCTATTGGCTTCCGTCATACTTCGTAGGTTGTTCAAAACCCGAGAAAGATTGACTCGCGAGGAGCAGGCTGGGTTTCGTTCTGGTCGAGTACGTATTGATCATATCTTCACCCTCCTCCAAATGTTAGAACACCACCATACTTTTCAAAGGCCAACAATCGTAGTGTTTCTTGACATCAGGGCTGCCTTCGATTCGTTGGACAGGGCTGATCTCTGGGATTGTCTATTGAAGAAGGGTGTGCCTGAGAAGTTTATTAACATCCTAAAAGCCCTATATACAAACACCTCAGGCAGAGTGAGGGCATACAACCACCTCTCTCCATTGTTCTATTCGAGCAGTGGGGTCAGGCAGGGTTGCCCAATCTCACCATTCCTCTTCAACTTTGCAATCGACGACATTCTGGAAACAGCTCTGATGGATGTAAGTAATGGTGGTGTGGATCTGTTGCCTGGAGAAAGACTTCTCGACCTTGAGTATGCGGATGATATTGTCTTACCGTGAGAAAATGCCCAAGTCATGCAATCCACACTAAACCATGTTAGTGATCCAGAGGTTCGGCATTATGTGTTCTGGAGCAGAGACGATAATCCAATTGGTGTCATCATCTTGAAACATCGACTTTGTTGGCTTGGACATATTCTACGAATGTCGTCCCAGAGAATTCCACATCGTCCATTATTTGCCGACTGTGGGACTGGTTGGAAAAAGCGGAGAGATGGTTAGTGCATGACATGGTGTCGGGGTATGAAAGAAAGCTGCAAAGGGCTGGCTTGTGTTGGTCCTTCACGACTCCCTGGTCGGGGTTCGAGAGATGGTGCAACACAGTGGCTAGAGACGTTATCAGATATGACTCAGAATAGAAGCCAATGGTGATCCTGCTGTAACCTTCTTTTACTTTCTTCATAAAAAGTGGTTGTAACTTCTTTAACTGAAACAATTCTTCTGGTTGTACCTTTCTGACTTCCCCATTATTAGTATTATTTCACTACTATACACTAATTTGTGGTCGTTATTGTCCTTTTTTCTCTTTACACACACCTAACATTCTTTATTTCTTCCCATTCTCATTATTATCGTGTGGCGCATATGTACCTGGTGCCCCCTTGTACCAATGTTTATGTGTTCAAATAAAGAAATGAATAAAACATGGTACTCCAACTGAAGTTAATCCATAGCATATATTATCTGTTAAAATGAAAAGAAAAAAACTAGTCACCACAGAAGTTCCTATTCAAATGGGTGATTATGGAAAATGTTTAGAAATTAAATCACTCCACCATAATATATCGTAATAATATTGATAACCAATCCAATTATGAGGATTACTTTATACATAACTGGATTTTTTAACAATTTTGATCGAAAATTAAACACCTGATCGGCAAAATCAAATGCAACCCTTAAAATGTCAAGAGTACGCGACGAACTACAGGAGCTTCGAACCATTCTAAATCCGTTTGATCCCACAATCATACTCCAAATCTCTCTCAGATTCTAACAAGGAAAAAAAAGGTTAAAGTAAAGAGTTACTAATCCCAGTTTAACTGACGAGAACTGATTAGTAAATGTACAATTACAAGAGCAAAGCCTTAAGTTAGTTAGAATTGCATACATTTATTCCTTCGATTCAAATCTATTATCATGATTCCAAATTTACTTTTTCTTAGTCGTTTGTACAATACATACTATAGAGTTTATTACTACAGTTATTTATAAAATTTTAATTAATTGAAATAAAACCACATCTAGGAAAAATAATCCAAAGCTACAACACAACCACATGCTGTTTATTATGTTAAACATAGTTTACGATCATTTTATTCTAAGAATATCGTATCTTCAATGAACATCACATCCAAATAAATCAATATTATCATACATAGAGTTCCCTTTATTATGTTAACGAGAGAAAGAATGAAGATTGGTACAGAATAATATGAATTGATTTGATTTCGTTAGGTTCTTATCAGCTGCTTATAACCTATAATATTGATTAAGATCTTGAACCGATTTATGTTAAACCACTATTGAAAACCTGGAAGCACTGGACGGTCGTTTTTTCCTATTGTGGAACTCCACGGCAATGCGCAGTCACGATCCCGCACCCCGCGCAATTCGAACCCAGAGCCTTCAGTTTCGCGCGCAAACACTTAACCTACTAGACCAATGAGCCAGCATCCAACCGTTTGTAATGCCTAACCTCAACCAATCAACGTTATTACACATATTGACATACTGATTACAAGTACTTGCTCTCTTTAAAATCAATATAACACTGAATAAAATATTACGCCGAAAATAAAATAAATATTAAACTGACTAGTTATTACATTCGATTAGAAACGGAAATGATGTTGGATAAAGATTTGATATTGCCTTTCGATTCTGTCATACTATATGTCTACTGAAATATTCAGATTACCATGGTCAAATGTCCTCAACTCCCAAAAAACCGTTTAAATCATCTGGGACCAAGTTCCGTCGCAGTCAAATCGATGGTTTCAAGCTTGTAACAAGAATAGTCAGATAGACAGAGCAGACTGCCTTTTGAAACACTATAGTGAGTTTACTTTTATTATAACTCAGATGTAAACAGAAAGATTTGCATGCATTAGTTATGTTACTGGAAGATCCCTACAATCACTGCCAAGTGAAATAGATTGACCAACATTATGCGCCGTAAGCCTGAAGCAAAAAGATTTTAAAAAATTTCATGAAAGCACATAAGGAGATAACCCATTACTGATTTCGGTTAACGTGAAAGCTGTGATAGCATTATATTCGACGGTGAATAAAAAAATATAAATCATGTGTCAGTCTTTAACATTCTGAGGATTTCGTTGACTGAATATATTATATAAAAGTTATTGTATATGGAAATTATATTTGAAATAATCTCAACGACTGAAATTTAAATAATCCTAACGTTTCGGTCAGCAAACTTGACTGAACTTCTTTAGGATGATAATAATAGAAATCTATACTCAGTGCCTAAATTTTGTCAAACTATTCGTTGACGAATGTTCATATATATTATAGAAAAGCTGTTCCTTGCAAGCAATTGTAGCAAACATATATGGCTTGTTTGATATGTATATAAGTGATGACTAATACTACTCGGTCAAACTAAGTAGTCCATAGACTTCTACACGTGCCTACATTCTCAAAACGAAAAATGTCACAATCTAGCGATTGTTCATTTAATCATTTTTCTCAGAATGTTTCTAGTATAGGTCTAAGCATCTGTAAAATGTGGTCTTATAGTACTTCCATAATTACTTCTCTTTTCAATAATCTTCAGTCAGTCAGTAACAACGTAGAACTTCGTACGTACGTACATCAGTTCGAGTTGCCATATCACATTACCACACAGATACAATTGTCGATTCAAATCCCATAGTGGTACAAGTAGTAAGAGTATAAGCAGTAATGGGAAAGATTAGGATTTGATGTTATTCAGGGAGTTTAATCCAGTGAAATAAATTTGGAAAGAGGAAAAAGAGAGGGACATGAAGAATCCAGAAAATTAGGATTTGGGAGAATACAAAGAGTAGATGCACTTGCGCCATTGCAAACGATTTTGAGCCATGTCATTCAGGGTCTCTAACCATCGGTTGCTGTCATCTCACGGATCCCAACCAGGTAGTCTACACCTACCAACATGACTCAGTCCACTTGTCAGTGACTTCATGAATTTGTGCCATGTTCCGGTCTTGCCGCCCTTAGCTTTCTTCCAATCTACTCCTATACCATTGAACATTGCACGTCGGGTCAGTCAGTGGTTGGGCATACGTAACACGTGTCCCAGCCATCTCAACTGATGAAGTTTCACTACTTCACCAATTGATTTGCCATCCTTACCTAGTACCCGTTTCTTACTTGATGGACCCTGGATTTACGAGCAATGTTTCGAAGACACCTATGATCAAATATTAGTAACCTACGAATATCCTCTACTCTTACCGGCCATATTTCACTGTCATTGAGTAGGACCGAAAGAACTGTTGCACAGTGAACACGTCCTTTGGTTGATAGACGGATATCTCGCCTACGCCATAAATGACGCAAGTTGGCAAAAGCTAGTCGAGACTTCTGTATCCGTCCACACGCTCAACTTCTTCACTCTCTATCATTAGTTCGGGTTTCGATGCAACCCAATCCTGAAGCAACATTTTGCATTTCGAGGGGGAGAATCACATGCCGAACATGCTTGCATTGTTGCTCAGAGTAGTCAGAAGACTGAATTTTGTCAGCGTCTTCACCAACTAGAACTATGTCACCGGCATATTCCAGGTCAAAAAGTGAATCTCCCGGTAGTTCAACCCCTGGAAATTTATATGAGAAAAGTGTCATCTCTAAAAGCACGTCAACGACAAAGTTAAACAAGAATGGAGAGAGTGGACAGCCCTGACGAACACCACTTGAGGTAATCAATTTTGATGACAGTTCACCATAAGTTCACATTCTACCAGCTGTGTTCGAGTAGAGAGCCTTTACAAGGTTATTGTACTTCTTCGGTACTCCTTTCAGTGACAAACATTGCCATAAAACCTTACGATTAACAGAGTCGGACGTTAAAATCTACGTGTAGTTTAGAGCGTGGTTTCAAGAGACCAGGAATAACGTTCCGGGTACTCAAATCGTTTGCCCTAGCGGTGCGAGGTGATAAAGGGACGTGAGAAGGGTTAGTCATAGAGATAAGAGAGGTATGAGGAGGTGTAGGAAGGATTTGAATGTGACCCACTTGGTCTAATGTGCTGTTACGGGTATGAGGGCTGATGTCACTTCCCGGTTGCCCACACCGTGGAAGGGTATTTCTTGAGGAACCTGAAAAGGAAGCTGGATTAGTGTCGGCCTTAACGACCTGGGAGCGTGACCGGAGAGCCCAAGAGACAACTGCTTGAGGCCGGTTGCGCACGGCCTTTTCGTGGGAGGTTTTTAATGTGTTAGCTCCGTTCTTCAAAGGGCGCATATATGTTGGCGCTCTCTTGTACCAATATTTATGTGTTCAAATAAATAAATAATGAATAATCAAAGGGCCTTACCGCCGGAGACGGAAATCCTTGAGGTAAGGTGAGGTGTGACATTTTTAAGGTCGACCTTTTCTAACACCTTTCTTCCTTGTGAGAACGCAGCATCGCTGCAGGTGCTGGTTGTCCAAGGGAAACACCTTACTGCTGTTACACCTCTCTACAGTCAGCAGTACGACTTCGCCCTCAGACCTTGAGTTGATGCTTTTAGTCTTACCGTTCTCCAATCGACCTGCATGGCATGGCAGAACCTACAGGAACATATGTTCTAGTCGATATAGCTCGGTTGGGTCATCACGATAGGCAACCCCGACCACCGCGTCAAGGTAGCAGCTACGGTCGGTCATTAATCTTCATTAAAGAGAACTTTCCCGATATTGTGATATTAAGTAACTTAATTTTCAATGATGAATGCAGGTCCTAAGAATAATAAAAATGTTCAACTTCTTGTTTTGAGACGTCATCCATGGAACACCTCTGTTGGAAATCATTTATTTATTTATTTTAACACATAGACATTGGTACAATGAGGCACCAAATACATATGCACCACACAAATCCCATTCGATATGTGTGAGGGCTGTGATACTGCCCGGGTGCCCAAACCGAAGCAGGTGGTTTTCTTAGGGGGCCACTCCCCGAGCCTTCGACCTGAAGGTTTGATTGACAAGGCAGTGGAGCATCGTAAGGAGATGCAGTCCCATGGAAGCCGGCGACCAACAATTGGTTCATACACCATTTGTTCCCGCAGGATACTGGAGCCCATTTACACCATTGGTTTGGAATCCGGTTAAAGCGCCGGATATTCGCTTTTCGTCCTCTCATTTTCGTAAACAACACCCCCGCCACGAGAAGGCAGTGAGTAGGATTCCCCTCAGTCAGTCAGTCAGTCAGCTACAACGTAGGACCAGGCACATATATGCATCGGTCCAAGTTGTCATACTTCATTAACAGAACAAGATGAACACCGAATTCATAAAAGTAGTCAATTCAGAGGTGGTAATATATAAAAGAAAGATTGCATATAAGGATACAGTACAGGAAGAAAGAATTAGTTAGTAGAAAGAAAGATATGAAGCAATTTTAGTCTCTTAGTTTAAGGGAAAACAGAGTGTATGCACCGACGCCATTGTGGTCGATTCTGAGCCATGTCACCAATAGTCTCCAACCATTGGTTACGATAGTCACGCGGACCCCAACCAAGTAGTCTGCATCTCCCAACATGGCTCAGACTAGAGGTTAGTGTCTTCAAGCACTGATGCCACGTTTTGGTTTGGCCGCCCCTAATTCTCTTCCAACCGTCCCCTACACCGATTAGCATTGCACGTCGTGGTAATCGGTGTTCAGGCATACGTAACACGTGGCCCAACCATCTCAGTCGATGAAGATTAACAACCTCATCAACTGATTTACCATCATTACCTAATACCCTGCGTCTAACCTCACTATTACTTACCCGGTGATCCCAGCAGACTCCAGCAATATTTCTAAGGCATCTGTGGTCAAATACTAGTAGCTTACGAGTGTCTTCTACTCTTAATGGCCACGTTTCGCTGCCGCGCAGTATACTCGTCCTTTTATTGATAGACGGATATCTTGCCTTCGCTACAGGTGACGTAAGTTGGCAAAAGCCAAACGAATCCGTGCTAGGATTTCGTCCGATACTCCCCTGGCAGAGGCTATATACGCGTGGCCATGTGAGAGCATTTTGAGAGGGAGAGCGGACTCTCCCCACTCTCGGCCGTACCAGGGCATTTGGGGGCAGTTGGAAATCATAAGGTGTATGTTGATTACAACACAATGCTGTTTTAGTTAGGGATATTAATATAGGACTGATGTGTTGAGACGCATGTTGGCCAGCTCTTGCTACAAAATAGGCTTTGAAACTAAGTGCACTGTACTCGACGAGAATACTTTCAACGAATCTAGTTTTATAAGAAATCCAAAGATGAATCACATGGGGCTGACTATAGAAACTGACCACTCCTAAGGTAGCATTCTCCATTCGGAAAAGTCACTCACGTACTGTCACTCAGTAGTCTTGAGTGCTGTCGAGGTGTGAGAGCGCTTTTCATTTCCCAGTTGCCCACACCGTGAATGGGCTCTTCTAGAGGTACCTGAAAAGGAAATTGGGTTAGAGTTGGCCCTGGTGACCTATAAACGTGACCGCAGCGCCCAAGAGATCAATGATCAGGGCCGGTCACATACGACCTTTGTGTGGGTAATTTGTTGAGACCTTAGCACCGGAGAAGGAAATCCGTGGGATAAGGCGAGATGTATATTTTTAGACTCGACCTTTTCTAACACCACCCTTCCTTATGCAAAGGCTGTTATGCATCGCTGTTATGCTGGTTGTCCGAGGGGAACACCTTACTACCGTCATGCCTCTGTACAGTCGACGGTACCACTTCACCTTCGGACCTTGGGTTTGTTGCTTTCAGTTTTACCACTCTTTGACCGACCTGGGACTCAAATTCACGTACCATAAACTAATAATACAAACACTGCAGTTCAACGCATCCTAATTCTCTAATTTATTTAGTTCTACGGAACTTACACACTTGCAAATAAGAGGTAACTAGTCGTACACATTAAAAACAGTAGGGCACTGCAACTTACATTAATGACGTTAATATTGGGAAACCACATTGGATGACTGAATTAAATTCCAGTAAAACCCGTAAAATGTGCGAAGTCACTTTTAAATTCCGAAGACTAGGTAGCCTGTCTTGGTTCTGGCAACGGCAGTTTCCCAGTCGATCCAACTATCTTAAGAGTGCTAACAGATGGAGCTTCAATCACGTGTTGGGGTAATAAATTCCACTTGTTTGTGAGTTGGAGGATATTCGATAGTCAGCCAACGAGCAATTTGTTCTGGAATTGAGAACGTTTTTGGTGCCCACGTAACTCCTGTTTCAGAAGACAAGAAAAATGAGTGGATATCTAGTGCGAATTTCTAATTAAGTAATTCAAAATGTGATTAATTCACCTTTAATTCTTTTATGTGACAAAAGAAACAGATTTAGTCTATCATCTTAAGGGAGCTTTGATATTCCAGTAATCAGCTAACCTGTAGTTTGCCGAACCTCAAACAGCCCACTGTCTCTTTTTAGGCCGAAGATAACTGCATGTATGCATTACTCGAGTTTACGACGAACAAACACCGTGCACAAAGTCAAAAGGGTTTATGGCATTGCCATGGCTTAAGGCTCTGCGTATAAATCACAGGGTTCTCAAATCTTCGGCGGCTATCACATGGCAGTAGTTTTCATCAATCTTGGCAAATAATAACTCTTAGGTTATCGTATGTCTGAATATCAGGTAACTTAATGTTGTTCACCATCTATGTATCTGTCTTAGTGACCAATATACATCATAGTGCACTTGGAAGCATGTACCGGCAACTGCCAAATTATTGACCATTTGGATAATTTCTCCAGGTCATTTTGAAGCTCCAAACTATCACCTTCAATCTTTATCACGCTTCATTTCTTGGCATTGTTACCATACAACAAAACCGACGATGAAAAGAGACTAGGAATGTCATTTACATACGGGAGGAGCAACACGTCCCAAAACTGTACTGAGGTGTTCCACTGAGCAGTTTCCCAGTTATTCAGTCATCTACAACGTAGGACCAGACAAATACATGCAACAGTCCAAGTTGCCATACCTCATTAGCACAAAAAGATGAACACCAAAGCATCCCAGCTACACAACTTCGAGTTCACGCGTACTCCTCCTAATCTACCTATTTTTGGGGAGTGCCTTAGGGTACAGTCTTGGGGCGTGTTATTCCTCTTATATGTAAATGATTTTCCTCATCTACTATCATCATCGGTCTTGCTATATGCTGACGATGTCAAGATATGGAGAGCAATACGAAGTGAGGGTGATAGCTTAGAACTCCAAAATGACCTGGGGAAATCTGAATGGTCTCAAACCTGGCAGTTGCCGATAAATACTTCCAAGTGTATTGTGATGCATGTTGGTCATCGAAGCATAGATACATACACGATGAATAACACTGAGCTACCTGTTGTCCAGACACACACAGACTTCGGAGTCATCGTTAGCCAAGACTTAAAGACCAATGCACACTGCCGTGCAATAGCCGCCAAAGGTTTTGGAACCTTATGGTCAATACGTAGGTCTTTTGGTCATGTCGACGCTAAGACGTTTTTGACTTTGCACACAGTGTTCGTACGTCCTAAACTTGAGTACTGCATACAACCGGCTAGCCCCTGCTTAAAAAAGACAGTGAGCTTCTGGACAAGGTTCAAAGAACGGCAACTAAGCTTATTCCCGGAATAGCGAAGCTTCTGTATGAAGCTCGACTGGCTAAGCTGAACCTTTTCCCGTTGTCATATCGCAGAACTAGAGGCGACTTGATGACGGTTTTCAAATTACTTAGTGATAAATTTGCACCTGATATGCCCTCATTTTTCTTGTCTTCCAAAACAGAGAATTTACGAGGACACTGCACAAACGTTCGCAAGCCCAGGACAAATTACTTGTCAGCTGACTATCGACATTTCCATAGGATCATCAACGAGTGGAATTCACCACCTCAGCACGTGGTTGAGACTCCATCCGTCGACTCTTTCAACAGAAAGTCGGGTCAACTGAGAAACCACCGTTGCCAGGACTAACACAGGCCATCAAGTTTCCTGTCCTTTTCAAACTGAAACCCGAAAATCTCCCCAAGATCTAGGGAAATTCCCCAAGAATTTGGGGAGGACCATTGGAGTTTAGGGAAATCCCCAAAATAAGGAGATTGAGAAATGACACAAAAAACCCCAAAATTTTCTCAGGTCTACGGAAAATCCCCAAAGTTTTGGGGAAATTTTAGGTTTTACAGAATCTTACAGCACTTGGGGATTTTTCGGCGAGACTCTAATTTAAGGACGCCCTTTGAACGAATCTTAAGTGACCTTGACAATTATTAGCCAATCAGAAGAAAGTTAGTACAAAGTGAAAATATATTATATGGAAGTAATGAATTACGGTGGATATTCTCTTTTTACATGATTTAAAAACTTGTTAAGGTTTGATTAAGGTTCAGAGGTTCTGAATTCACAATGCATATGTGATAGAAACTCGTCTATTGGGTTATGGTTAGGTTTACGGGTAAGGTTAGGGTTTAGGGTTAGGGTTAGTTCATGGTTAGGTGACGGTTTAGGGCTAATGTTAGGGTTTTGGGTTAGGGTTAAGGTTAGGGCTAGGGTTAGAGTTAGGTGAGGGTTAGGGTTAAGGTTCGGGTTTAGGGTTAGGGTTAGTTCAAATGGTTCAAATGGTTGTGGACGGAATAGAAGAAGCTTTCGCTTAACAGGCTTCCGTGTCTAGTAGCCGGGGATCACCAAATCCTCCAGGCAGGAACCTAGGTATGTTAACAATAAAAGAGGAAAAGAAATTGGTAAATCATAGTGTGATGCTGTCCTTGGTTCTTAAGAATAGGTCAAGTTGCCTCTTGAAGGACTCCTGAGAAGTCGCTTGGACTAGCTCGGCCGGCAGCGAATTCCAGCTTTTGACAACTCTTAAGGAGTAGAAGTTGTGTCAACATTCCGTCTTGCTATGTTGTGTTTCCAGTTTCTGGGTGTTACCCTTTAGGTTATTATTCGAACTAAGCTTAAGTAGGTGTTTAAGAGGATGTCCAGAAGTGTTAAGAGTACTATAAGCCATTAATAAATCACCTCTAAGACGCCTATATTCTAGTGGGTAAAGGTCTAGTGAACGGAGGCGTTCTTCGTAAGGCTTAGATTTGAGTCCTCGAACTGATTTCGTGGCTCGCCGTTGGATACGCTCCAAAGTAACCTTGTCCTTTTGGAGTGAGGGGGGAGTACTATGTTTCCGTACTCTAAATGGGGACGGATGAAACTATTGAAGAATGTGTGGAAAGTTCTTCCGTCAAACTGGCCAAAAATGCGCCTCAACGTTACCAGTGCAAGGTTTGCTCGGAAGGCATTTTTGTCACAGTTAGCGTAAGACTTTAAGTCATGGGGCACCAGGACTCCTAAATCTTTCTCGACTTGGGATACTACTAGAGAGGAGTTTCCTAAGTTGTAACTGTAGTTTGCGACACGTCGCAGATGGACTACTTTACACTTTGAAGTGTTAAAGATAAGTCCGTTATCGTCTGCCCAACTTTGAAGTCGAGTCAGGTCCTCCTGAAGTGCCTGTGTATCGTCTTGGTTGCGTATCTCTCTCCAAAGTTTCACGTCGTCGGTAAAAAGTAATAAGTCTGACGTTACCTGTTGAGGAAGATCATTTATGTAGATCAAGAAGAGAAGAGGCCCTAGTACTGAGCCCTGGGGGACCCCACCAGGACATTCCATAGCCTCAGATAAAGTGAAATCAACCCTAACCTTAAAGTGTCGATATTTTAGGTATGAAGTAAGCCAGTCGATTAGAGGTGGTTTGATACCTAGTCGTTTGAGCTTATTGATAAGACACAAGTGGTTAACCTTATCAAAAGCTTTTGAGAAATAAAGGTAAATGACATCAACCTTTCCCTTGCAATCGAGGATGCTTGTCCATCTGTCCGCCGCAGTCAGCAGGTTGGTTATACAAGAGTAACCCTTCCTGAAACCATGCTGTTGGGGTGAGAAGAAACTTAAGGACAGTAGATAGTCATTTAAACCGTCGCATATCAGGGACTCCATGAGTTTTGAAGGTAATGACAGAAGAGCCACCGGCCGATAACTTGAAGGTTCATTGCGTCGACCACCTTTGAAAATTGGTGTGATGTGAGCCAACTTCCAATTTTCCGGTAATTTGCCTCGGCTAAGCGAGTGTGAAAACATCACGCTAAGCGGCGTTGCCAGGATTGAGGCTGCCTCCCTCAGTATGGCAGGATGAACCATATCCGGGCCAGGAGAAGTGTCAAGTCTTAAGTGCTGCAATTTCCGGAACACCAAGTCAGCGCTTAGGTCCACTTCAGAAAGTCCTGTGGAATTGCAGATGAAACTGTCGTCAATAAAGTTGATGTCAGCCGGTTGAAATGTTTGAGAGTAATGTGCCGCCAGAAGGTTAGCGGCGTCGCCATCGTTGTTGGTCGGGCCGTTAAGACCTAGCAGTTGAGAAACTCCTGTTTTGGCTTGACGAAGAGAGGCTGCATAACGGAATAGGCTTCTAGGGTTAGAGGCGAATTTGTGCATAAGCTTTGTTTGGTACTGAAGCCTGTCTTCTCTTATAGCCTTCGTGCATATGTTCCTGATATGTTTATATTGCCTATACGCTCCATCGTTATTAGTTCGTTTATATTCTGCCCAACAGTGTCTTTTGCGGCTTAGCAGGCGAAGGGTACGGTTCTTGATTACTGTAGGTGGCTTGCAGCTTTTGGGAACCGTTTGAGGAACAGAATGGTCTGTAGCACATAAGAGCGTGTGCAGTAAGAAGTCCCAATGACCATCCACATCGAGTTGAGGGTGAACATCCCAAACCACCTGTTGTAGATAGTCATGTAGAGCTGGCACATTCAGCCGTTTAAAATTCCAACGCAAATTATTGTTGGGATACCTTAGCTTAGTTTTGATGACAAAACTGAAGGCTATGACGGCATGATCGCTCTTTCCTAGGGGAGCCAGGATTGAGAGGTCATCAACTAGGAATTCTTCGTTTGTGAATACACAGTCTAAGCGCGATGGTGTCTGACTGTTTCTCCAACGAGTTGCCGACCTCACATTTTCATATAAGCCCAAGTTATCGATGAGGTTGAAGAACCGAGCTTCAGTTGAGTTGTCGCCTCTAGTGTACGTGTGTTCCGCGAAGTTGACTCTAGGGAGATTAAAGTCCCCTAGAATCAGGATGTGTGTGAAACCAAGACGGATAGAGCGGGATAGTCCTTCCAGCATACGACTATCGTACTCGGTGTCGGCAGTTGGCTTCCTGTGAATGACTTCGACCAGACACCTGGAAGTACTAGACAATCTTACAGAGCACCATATGGATTCCTCAAGATTGTTAAACTCGAGGTTGTGAACATGGTGCACCTCCAAGCAGGAGCTTATGTATATGGCTACTCCGCCCCTAATTCCTATTTTTCTGTCGTTGCGGAACAAAGTCATCCCAGGTAATGCTAACTCTTGGTCCGAGAACTGAGAAGATATCCAGGTTTCAGACATTCCTATCAGATGGGCCTTATTAGCGTTGCTAAGTTCACGTAGTTCATCCAGTTTGTTTGGTAGACTCGCGGCGTTCATGTATAAGCAGTTTATGCTTTCAATTTGGAACGCGTGACCTTCGTCCTGTTTTTCTGTACGAACCTTATGTGAATGGACAGGTAGCCCACCTATATGAGGTTTGCCGAGGTGGTAGGCCCTGTCCTTTGCACGTTATTTTTATCGTTTAGACAGTCCACAAGTGGAATGGTCAGCTCCAACTTGCCTTTGTTCTTGGTCCTAATTTCGTATGGCCTATCCGGGTGCATGTGGATTCCAGGTGGCAATCGACGTCTATTAGCACGAAATGCTTCCAGAACTGCAGCCGCCATGTGGGAAGATGGGAAGGTTATCTTCAGTAGTCGGGGTCTAAGATCACCGTCCTTCTTGGCTAGTCTCGTCACATGCTGAGTCAGTATGTGTTTGAGCCTCAAGGACTGTTTGATGAATTTGCATTCCCTGATGTCAGAATTTGATTGAGTAGGGTCTGCATTTTCCGGTATACCTTGGACAATTATGTTTCTTCCGCGGAAAAACTTCTCGCGAGATTCTTTAGGGACGTTTCGTATGATATTGCGCTCAGAGTACGGTATGTCGGGCAATATTCTTACGTTACCATCTGATTTTAGCAAGTGACTTGCTAGCAAAACGTCCTCTACGTCGGTAGCATTCTTAAGTGTTACTCGGAGAAGCCTCGGGTGATTTAGATGCTTAGAATCCTTTCCTCGAGTGAGCCGGGTGACCGTCAAAGGCTCTATTCTAGGAAGTTCGAGCTTCTTGTTCAATTCACCCCACAGCATCCTGTCGTTTTTGTCCTGCAGACTGAGAGGAAGGTCAGGATTGTTAAGGTTTAGGGTTAGGGTTAGGTGAGGGTTAGGGTTAGGATGCTAACATACGAATTTTTAAATCATGTCAAAGAAGAATATCCATTGTAAATTATTACTTTCTTTTAATATATTTTTACTTGATGTTGTCGTATGTTAGCAGCGCGTGTTGAAATTAGCTCCGTGACCTTGAAATTGCTCAAACGCTTCTGATTTGCTCGTCCCTAAATTAGAGTCTCGCTCCCCCCCCAGTCAAACCCAAGCTCCCAATTTTTGGGAAATTTTGACTTATTTTGGGGAAGCCGCTATAGTAAACTTTAGGGAAATGGCACAAAAACCCCAAAATCTCTCTAGACCTGGGGAAATCCTCCAATATTCCCCCCAAATTCCACTTTCACCTTGGTCAAGATCATTTGACTTCGGGAGTTTACCCAAAATACCCCGAAATTGGAAATTCGGGAATAACCTTGACCAGTGTTAAAGGGGAATTTTGGGGAAATATTGTGAGATTTCCCCAGGTCTGGGAAATCTTGGGTTTTTGTGCCATTTTTCCAAAGTTTACTATAGCGGCTTCCCCGAAACTTCCCTAAACTGGGTCAAACTTTCCCCGAAATTGGAAACTCAGGTCCCCAAAACTTTCCTTTGCAGTTTCTCCAGAATTTACCCAAAACGGGCAGCATTTCCACTGAATTGGGATCTTGAGGGATTTTCCCGAAAACTGGGGGAAAACTTCCATATTTCTTACGACTTTGGTGAAGACCTCAAAATGGGGAACTTTGTTGAATGGCACACCCAAGGTCTATTTCAGTCAGAAAACTATCTTGGCTACTCAGAAATGTTTACAGATAAGCATATGTAAAATATATATGTATGGTTCTAACATGATTCATAATTAGATCAATTAAGGCTTACAATCAACGTGACACCACAACAACTACGTCTAGTCTCGAAC